TTGAGAGCAAAAGAAGAAGGAGACGACAGAGAATGAGGTGGCTAGATGGAGTCACTGAAGCAGTAGGCGTGAGCTTAAATGGACTCCAGGGAATGGCACAGGACAGGAAGTCCTGGAGGAATGTTGTCCATGGGGTCGTAGTGAGTCAGACATAACTTCACAACTAACAACAACAAGTGGCAAATCTAGCAGACTTACCTCTTTCTGTCCCCTTGTGCAGGTATTCTTCTGAAGTCACTGGAAAATGATTTGGATTAAGTCTTTAGCTAACAAAATCGTTATGTAGTGGCAATTTTTGAACTAGTATCCATAGTGCTCTAAGTTATGATATGCTTAGCCATGGTTTATTTGAAGAAATCACAGTTGGTTAGATTTGAATTAAACAGTAAGCCACAACTTATGATTCATTTACCAACTACTTCATACAATGCTGTAAATCAAAACCACCAGCATTATGGGCCATATCTGAAGCATCAGCTATAGCTGGCCTTTGAAGTCCACAAATGAAGTTGGCTCTAGATGCATCACAGTGATTTTTTTTCTCTAATATCTCATGAAATTGAGCAATTTGGGTCCTTGTTTGCTATACAGGTAGTCCTTGACTTACAGCCATTTGGTTAGTGACCATTTGACACTGAGGAAAGTGACGTAGGACCGTTTTTCACACTTAGGATCTTTGAAGCATCCCCATAGTCACAAGATCAAAATTCGGGCCCTTAGCAACTGGCATGTACTTATGACAGTTGCATTGTCCTGGGGTCATGTGATCACCATTTGTAACCTTCCCAGCCAGCTTCAAACAAACAGAATCAATGGAGGAAACCATATTTGCTTAATGACCGCCTGATTCACTTAACAATTGCAGTGATTAGCTTAACAACTGTGACAAAAGGTTGTAAAAAATGGGGCAAATCTCACTTAACAATTGCCTCATTTAGCAACGTAAATTTGGGGCTCAAGATTCTTGGAAAGACGTGATTAGGGACTAAGTTCGCAAGCATTTTTGAGACAGACAACTTGGCCCAGTTAGATGAGAATCTTTACTGGAAGAAGCCACTGATACAATGGATTGTTCCTTGGCCAGCAGGAAGATACAGGTGCTGTTTTAAATCCCACAGAAGTTTAACTTGGGCTCTTCACATCCCTTCTATGGTTTAATGGACTTTAGCCTTCTTGGTCTTGAAGCTGGGCCACCGTCAGGTGCAAGGAACCAAAAACAGCATATGTAGCTGATCAGAGTGGTATGGTTGTTGCTGCTTGCCTACACACAGGAATCCTGCCAGACTAAAGCTCTCACTGCACAACTGCAGATAAACCCTGTAGAGTTTTAAACAGGATCCCCTTCCAGCCCTTTCCTCCCCTCAGTGCCTCAGGTGAGCCAGCCTTTTCACTCCTCTCCTCAGCTCAGCTCCAGATTCCAACACAGCAAGTGTTGATTGTTGACATAACTGTCCTCAGAAACTCTTGACTCTTGGCAGCCACAGTTTATATGGGGAATTAGCTGAGGTCACACAATCTGTCCCACCTCACCCCCGTAACCTGATGGGTTTTTTTTCTTTTTGTGGAGGAATTTTGCTGCTGGCCATCCCTTGTACAGACACAGCTGCTAGCTTGTTATCGGCCAGATGGCTTATTTAACATGGACAAAAGTCGTTAGTGAACTCAATTTGCCAGGACAGAATAAAAATGTCCAAAAGCCTGTGATGTGATCCTTCATATAAAAGGTTGAAAAGATTCTTAAGTGATTGTGAGGGTATCTTGTCTGTAGTCAGAGAGAATAATGGAATTGAACGGAGTCCACCATCATCACTGGGTTTGCTTGTTTTCTGCTCAAATATTTGCTTTTTGAAAACCGATTGGGTTGTTAACAACCTTTCTACTGTTCGTATTTCAAAGCAGCCTCTTCCAACTGCAATCTGGATACATCTAATCAGATTGGGAAAGTCTGTTCCACAGGGTGCATTGAAAGATCTGAACTAAGCATATTTGGTTAGGAATGGAAAAGTCGAACATGTTCTAGCTGTCCAGTTAATTTGGCACAAGTGGCATCTTCAAGGAATTCAGGAAATGTAATTTTATAAGCAAGGCATCACAATGGAATTACTACAGCTCCCATAATTCTTTCCAAGAGGCCATGATAGTTCATTAAACTGCTCTCAAATCAAGTTTGATCCTAGAAAGACTATTCAAGGCTTTCCCAAATGAGCAATCTAGAAATTATCTAGTTATTCCAGACAGTTGATTTAGTCCACTTACTGACACTTTTTTTTTATGATGCACAAGACTTCCTGTGAATAATTGATGCCTCTTCCTCCCTCTTTTGGCATTTCCCCCCAGTAATGGTGTGCCAATGTTCTCTTTAAAACTGGCAAAGTTGCCAGCATTGTTATTGCCCTGGGAGCCTTTGCTATTCTTCTGCAGTCCACAGGGATGGTTTATTTTCCATGGAATGAGTTTGTTACCACCTCCTCTGCTTACCTAGCTTTCATTGACACCTGAACCAGGACAATACATCAACCACAATCAATTCTCTTTTACCCCACTGTATAGAGCATCTGAGCATCTACAATGGCATTCAAAAAGTGATTTATGCCCATTTTCCTTACCTAAAACCTTTGTAAGTGATCCTACATCACTTCAGACAAATGGTTATCCAACATCTTAAAAATGTCCAGTGTTGGAGCATTCACAACTTCTGGAGGCAAGTTGTTCTGATGATTAAT